CAAATTGCATCTTTGCCTACAACTGCTTTTTTCCTGTGAAAATTCATGTCTGTCCCACTGCTATACTCGATTGACTGATATAGGGTATTTTTAGAGCTCAGCGAAAAAGTCAGTCTGGAAGGTATTGCCGTGCTTATATCAGAAGCTGACTACAAACATGGTGGTCTCTATGTTTGTGAAGCAATTAACGAATACACTGCTGGAGGAAAGACTAGTAAACCACTGGTAGTTATTGAAAGGATATTAGACGTAAAAAGTAGGTGAAAATCGTCATAATCATTATACATGCTTTGCCAATAAAGTAATGCCATATCTTTGTAGGCGAATTGGCATGGATCTATCCGCTGATTGTAATATTCATCACACTTGTCCTGTTATTCGTTATCATTGCATTCTGTGAATTAAAAAAAAGACGTCAAAACAAGCAGTAAGTCCATATAGCACATTTGCTTAGGGATTACTTACACGGTTATTACAAACGTTTAGATCACGATATATTACACAAGAGTGATGCAACCAACAACAGCGACAGCTCTCCTTTTGCTGACTGCCTCATTACATCTCATGGCCTTGTATATTTATTTATTTTTTTGCAAACATACTGCAATTATGAAATCATAGCTTGGATCTTCCCTTTATTTCTATGCTTTCACCTAACGCAAGTATTATTTGATTTTTTACGATACAGCACAGCCTCTCCACAAAGGATGCTCATTTTCAGTTTGTATATTCCTTAGTCTTTAGTAGTTAACTCGATGTCTAACCTTGTTTGTTGTTCTTTTGAGCGTAATAAAACAGACTGGAAAATGGAAATTTGTCATAAAACTCTGCATTTCAGGCAAAGCCTTTGAGGGTAATCCAAGTTTATCAAAAATTGCAAATTGCATTACTTGTGCTGATTCAAATGCACACGTTTCAAAGTAGTGGCAAGATGAAATTAAAATACTACTAAACTGTTTCTTTAGTAACATATTGTAACACTTCATACATTGCTTTTTTCGACAGTTATGCTTCAGTAGCCTGCAATATTTGCAGTGCATTTAATAACTTCACAGCTATAAACAGAAAAAGCAATCATAAGGAAAATTGGAGAGCTGAGTCTTTTCGAAATCTCATGTCCCATCATCAATGCATAAACTAGTTTCGGAGGACAACAGCTCGCATTCATAAACTTGTTGTTGAAAACTTCATGAAAGTGGCTTCTTCTAAGCCTAATTTAGCAACTAGTAACGTCCTCAAGGAATGAAGTTTCTGCTACATTTTATTAAGAAAGACTCATCATATGCAAATATCTCAATATTATGGGATTAATCGCATTTTTCGCAAAAATGTTCTTCAAATTAAAAATTTTTACGTCAGAAAGGTCCTTTGTGTTTGTAGTGGAAAATTCAGAAAATGACATTATGTTGAATTTACTTGTATCGGTAAAATTCAAAAAAATGACATCATGTCTTATTGAAATTACTCGTAAAAAACCCTAAATTTGGCGCGGTACCCACTAACCAGTCGCAAGAATATATAGATGACTTGAGAACTACTAACGATTACGTGAACGATGTCAACAATTCTTCGATAATAAGTCTCCTGCTGTGGACAATGAACATCGAAGACTCGAAACATTCTTCCTTCCTTTCACTTTGTCATGTAAAAACAACTTCTTAGGGAATGAATAAGCGAACATGTGAGGACTGAAACACTTCCTTGTCAATGGGCTGTGAAGAGCCGAAATCAACACATGACCATTCATTCAACCGTTGTAACATTCGCAGTCAATGTGTTATCTGTACAAAATAACTACATATAAAAGACATGGTACGTAGAATAACGTATCGATACGCCGACCACAACAAAATGAACATGGATAGCATTTGTTATCACGGATCAATTACCACGAAATGGGGAACATTTAAGATACGACGATAGAGGAAAGCAAGAAATAGAAAGGATAGAGCTGACGGGGAACTTTTGTGATACAAATAAATAGATGAAGACAATGATTAAAAAACAGCGGGAATAGCCGTCGAAGAGCACTACAAAAAGGGGATCTTAGGTGTAGAGACACTCCAGATGGAGCTGATGTGGATAATTATGCGGTCAGCCTCATTCCGGTCGTACATAGCCATTACTCAACCGAAGGCAGCTGGGTTGGCTGACCATCGTGGTGCTGGAAAAAATTTAGGTCTCTACAATAATTATGTATTGTTCTGAGGAATTCCACGTACAAAAAAGAGACAAAGCAAAATTATAACATTTACTCAAAAAACCACTTGGTTGCGCATAGCTTGAAAATGGAATAGAAATGACGAATTGAGAATCTTGACAGTCTTAATTGCTTATTGTGACATTTGATCTAGGAACACCGATAAGGAGATGAAGTCAAACTCAGCATTAGCATCGATCGTGCCGACTTCACTCAATAACATATACTCTGATCGTAAACTTTCTAAAAGAAATCAAACAATGCCTAAGACCGTTCCTTAGCAGAGTTGAACCAGCACCCCGCGCAATCGATAATGAAACACCCTCATTCTACTCAAAAACAGATCGAGGAGAACACAGACATTTCACTTCTCATTTGTTAAAGTAATGCGCCAGTTTTAAAACATGAGAAGAAACTTGTAATGCAATTATCAAGATTTAAGGGCAACAAGGTCAGAAGATTTCCAAATTATAGCTGTAATGGATTTTTACAATAAACGTTTAGAAGAAAACGTGAACGTTTGGTTTAGCAAAGGAAGCAGACACTGTGTAAACGGGATGAATGCGAGAAGGAAAAAAATAGTGCTCGTGTCGGGGTAAAAAACAAACTAGAGAAGTTATTACAGGTAAAAGAAGATGCTCATACGGCCAAAAGTTCCTCCAGCGAAAAAAAAAAACAAAAGAATTACAAGACTCCTATGCGTCTATGAACAAACCTGTACATGTGGCATTGGACTTAGTTTGCAATGCACTGATGGATTGATGATAGAAGCTTTTCTCTGGGGTACGGTATCCGGGCGGGGAATCTGCAAAATGTACCAATAGCACACTCATTTGACTAGATTAGAATTCCCAAGACCACCTGCAGATTAGTCTCCGATTCAGGAGAACCCGGTTCAGGCGCACCTCCTGTAGGCGATTTTGGCACCGGTATTGCGGCAGCTACAGGAGCCGCCATCGGATGTGGTAGGCGACCCGGTAGCGCTTGTTTGCTGCGATCCTTATCCATGGCATAATCACCGGAGTCAAAGAACTTCTGAAAATCATAGAAATAAATAACAAGAACCACTAGACAACGAGAATAACAGATGTTCACCCTCTGCTGCAGTTTCTTCTGCAAAAACGAGGACGCGGGTCGAGCGGGCAGGCGTCCCTGTGCGGCCAGTTTGTTCATCAGCTGTTGTTCTTGCTGTTTTTCTACAGACAGACCTTCGGCCAAATCTTCGGGCATTTCACCGCTCACCTCGCTCCGCATGATCTTCTGGAAATAATGCTTAGCTGTTCTTCACTTATGAGGACATATATAATCAAACTTTTTTAAATGTAACAACGCCAACACAACGAATGACACTTAAATTTTGACTTCGAAAATGCGATAATGGTTGATAAGTTAAATGGAGAGAGCAGAAATTTTCAAGCAATGCTATCTATGAGAAGAAACGTGTAATTATTACAAAACGGATCGAATACACAGTTCAAAATGCCCTAGAGTGGACACAAAA